ATTGTTACTGAATGTGGACCCAAGAGCACAAAGCTGAGGAAGATTCCTTCAAAAATTCTCCAGCTCCTTCTGGATACATATTGTTGGGCTCATCAACATCTGATTGAGTGCAAAGAAACCACTAGGAAATCTTGCTAATTTCCTGAAGCATCACTTTTGATATTCAAAAAGAAATGACTATTTTCCCCTATCCCTCAAGAAAATAAAGATATTTAATATTCTTCTTCTTCAAGAGGCCTGGGTGTGTTGGAGCATAATATTTATATGACCTTTATTTTGGGGGCAATTCAAATACTAAAGTTGAAACATCCTGAGGCAGCCTTAGCATATTCATTTCAAAGAAATTATATGTAAACAATCTTTGGCAGATAGTCTTTGAATTATGACTTTTGTAGCGGTCATAGTAATCAAATAAATGAATAAATGCAGCCTGCTCATCACAGTCGTAAATCATGATGATCAGAAAGGTCAGAAATTGAATCCAATTCACAAATATTCCTTTCAGAATTTAAATGGCTGCTAAGCAACCAGTTATTAGTCAAGGCTACCCATATTACATCCATGCACTATTATACCCATTAATTATTTTACTTACTCAATTTGTGACTTTTTAAATTTTAATATTTATATTTCTCCCAAGTAGGGTATCTATTATCCCAAACTAATGAAATGTGGGATCCTTTCAAGGAATATACTTCCAATCTATTTGAGTTGTGATTGTATGCTACCATCATATTAGTATTTGTTTGTTACATAGTATTTATTCTAGAAGAAAAGACGCAGATTTCCTGCCTTATTCTAAAAAACTGTACCTTAGGAGGAGTTATTATCATGAAAGTAATCTTGGCAATTTTTTCCCTACATTTCTTTATATGGAGACAGATCTTCTTCAAAGGATACTAGTGCTATTCATACTGATGATTCCAAAAACTATTAATAATATAATATTTGCTGATTCCATTGCCAGTGCTTGTCCTGCCAAATAGTGGTTGTTTGCAAAGCAAACTAAGAAAAGGTATTGGTGGCTTTGATAAGATATTTGCCAATCACATTACTTAAAACAAGTTGAATATTAAAAAGTAGCCCAGTTAATATCTGATAATGGAGAGGGCAGTTACTAGGCAGATTGAAGAGAACTCCCTCTCACTTTACCTCTACTCCTATGCCTGGAGTAGTAGAACCAGGCAATTTTTAAACAGCACTCTTAAACTTATAAACTCAGGTTCAAAAGCAGCTCAAATACAGAATTGTGAGGTGATGCAACCTGAAACAGGAGAAAGACCAAGATTCCTCCCTTTCCTGATTCTCTGTACAGTTTCCACCTCCACTCACAGCTGCTATTGGCTAGTCCAGGCCAGGGATGGATTCTGACCAAAAGAGATGGTCCTTTCTGGGGCTCAAATTGACAGCAATAATGCTGACAGTTTTCAGAAATACTTAATATGCTTTCTCCCAATCCATAATAATAACAGCAACATAATTGCCAATTACTGATTAAATTTCTTCCAAAACTATTCAGCCAGCCATTTATCTTGTTGTACTGTGCTGCCAGTCTTGTGACAGGGAACACGGAATAATGGTTTTAAGTTAGAGGAAGACCTGATTCCAGTTAAATATTAAGAAAAATCTTTCCTAAAATGGCAATTTGAGTGTACATTTATCTAGAGTAAATTTGATTCATTGCAAGTAGTTATAGGGTTATTTGTTGGACATGCTTTAATCTGGATTCCTGCTTGAATTCAGTGGTCTACCGGTCCATCCTAAATCTTTTATTTTATTATCATCTTAGCTTTTTCTATTATAGATTAAATAATTATTTAATTGGAGGGATATTTGTATGTGGCAACAATTTGAACGTAACCATACTCATCTAAAAATCTCAATACCACAGTAATAAAATGAGGAGTTTCTTGTTTACATCACCTGATCCAAAATAGCAGCAAGAGACATATATTGTTAACTGTGATGGAATGTGCATCTGTAGCAGCAGAGGGAGAATACTTGGCCATTCAGAGTCTTTCCAGAAAGAGGCCTGATTAAGAGACTGCTGTCCCGAGTGGGAGGGGGAACAGTAGCCACATTATAGACTCTCCGAAGATATATATTTACTAGATTAGAAAGCTCTTGCTTTACTTTGGCAACTTCCTGTCCATTGTGTGCAAGCAAATAAAAAAATCGAACTTTTTTGGATCTCACAGTCTTATCTATGGGTTTGGGCCTGACATTAATTTATTTATACAATATTAAAATATTTACTGCTTTTATAACCAGAGAAGAAATATTCAATATAGTACAGTAAAGAAAAAGATGACTTGCTCAGAAGAAAGCTGAAAATTATCTATATTCGTGTTAGCCTGTTACTGCAGCCTAAAAAATAATTCACATTTCACTAATATTGATCTGAAAAGGAAAATTTAAAAAGCTGTGACAATGAATAGCAACAAGTAATATTATTTTCTGCAGAACAAGTTTTGAGCAAGCAGAGTCTAAACAAGAATTACATGTTTGGGCAGCCACAGTACTACTGCATCATAATTCCTTTCTACAAGATAATTAAAATTGACAATAAAATCCAACTTTAAATTACAGTATATTTAATTATTGCTAATTCAGGTTATTTCTTTATTTTCAAATAGATGCTTCTGCCAATATAAATATAATATAAAACATAGTAGTTAAGATATTGAACGAGACCCAGGGAAACCCAAGTTTAAATCCACCAGCAGCTATAGCTGTTTGCTGAATTACTTTGAGCTACACAATCTCTCTTGGTCCAATCTATTTAATAGCAATTATTGTTGTGGAGAAGAGAATTGGAGAATTATTGTTGTGGAGAAGGGAGTTAGAGGAAGGAGTGATGCTCTAAACTGCCTTGAGTTTTGAAAGGAAAGGTGGGATATGCTTTGATGGACAACTCTTCTAAGATCACAAATCTTCTAAGAAAAGTCTAAAGAATGTATCACAGATTCTGCTTTTACTGTAGAATTATGGAATCCTGTAGAATTCTACTGTGTAGAATTCTAGTAATACTGTGGAATTATTGTACTAATTCTACTAAGACTGTAGGACAGAACAGAATAACAGAGTTGGAAGGACCTTGAAGGTCTTCTAGTCCAATCCTCTGCTCAGACTGGAAACCCTATACCTGTTGTGATGAACCTATGGCATGCGTGCCAGAGGTGGCATGCAGAGCCCTCTCTGTGGGAATGTGCTCCGTTGCCCCAGCCCAGCTCCATCACATTTCTTGCCATCGTTTGCACGACTAAAAAGTGAGCGAAACAGCATTCCGTCTTCATGGCGGTGCATTTACTGTTGCTGCCTCCATGGCCTGTCCCTTGTGCAGCACAGTGAAATTTAGCATGTTTCACAATGGGGGAGACAATTCCCCTCCTCCCGAAGCCCATATGACGTGAAGCTCCAATGCAACCCTGCGTTAGTGTGGGGTCGCTTTTGCCACCTGGTTGCTTTTTCTGCAGAGCTGCCTGTGTTGGGATGCCCTGCCTCCCTGCTGGCCAGCTGGGCTTCGGCTCTCAGCCAACCAGCTGAGAGTTGGCGCACTGCTCCTGGGCTCATCAGGCTTCAGACATCAAATTCCCACCACCAAGCACTAGTTCAGGGCTGTGTGAGGGGGAAGAGGGAGAAACAGAAGGAGGCAGAGAGAGGAAAGGAAAGAGAGAGGGGGGACGGAAAGAGAAAGAGGGAGGAGAGGGGAAGGGAGAGGGAGGGGAAGAGGAAAGAGAGGGGAAGAGGAAAGGGAAAGAGAAAAATAATATTACGAAGGTTTTTCTTTTTTATTGTTGCTAAACGTAATATTTCAAATGCAGAAAAAAATGAAGGAGCATAAAAGTGCATTTATCACACTTTTCTTACAACAATTATCTGAACTCTGCCTTGTTTATCATTATTTTAGGTAGTAAAACTTTATTATTCATGTTAAATGGCCATAAGTGGGTTTGGGGTTGTAGTTTGGGCACTCGGTCTCTAAAAGGTTTGGCATCACTGTTCTATACCATTTCAGAGAAATGGTTGTCCAGTTTCTTCTTAAAAACTTCCAGTGTTGGAGCTTTCACAACTTCTGGAACAAGTTGTTGCACTAATTAATTGTTCTATCAGGAAATTTCTCCTTAGTTCTAGATTGCTTCTGTCCTTGATTAATTTCAGATGCTGTGGAGAATAGCTTGAATATCTATTCTTTGTGGCAACCTCTGAGATAGTGGAACATTGCTATCATGTCATTCCTAGTCTTTCTTTTCATTAAACTAGACATACCCAACTCCAACTGTAGAAACTGTAGAATTACAACTAGGTAAATATCTAAGTATTGAAGTCTGACTAGTGGGGGGGTTGTTTGTTTTGTTTTATCCAACAATTATCTGGCACTTCAGTTTTTGAGAATTTTTACTGCTTTTTTATTTTACTCAAAAGAGACTAACCTAAACAAAAACATTGAAAAAAGGACAAATATATATAGAATCCCCACCTTGTTAGTGATAAATTTATTGCAACAATAATAGCTTCTCCCTTGCAAAGAAGGCCCATTATTTATAAGCTTGTACATGTATTTACAATCCAATTGACATGTTATACTTTACATACATGAAAAAAATAGTTAACAGATTAAACAACAGTGAAGTTAAAATTCAAAGCCTTTTGTTGTAATTTACTCCTAGAAAGTCAACAGGTTTCTTATTTATCACAAATCACCCCAATCATTATCTCTAAGTCCAGGGTCAACTATCCCTGTTTAGCTCTTAATAGTTAAACCTTTCCTTAGATTTTTAATTGGGAACTTTCCCAACACTTGCATCTCATTTCCAAAGTTCATAAAGTCTTATGAATCATCTAAGAAACGCTTATAAAGAATCTATTACAAGTTCCGTTTTTACTATAGAATTATCATGTTATCCATGTGCTATACTAACAATAAATAGATTTGTTTAAAGAATATTTATATGATTGAAAAAACATAAGAGTTTACAGTCTCTCCTTCTTATTCTCAGAAAACTGCTGCAGATGGCAAGAGGCAAGAAATCATTGTCCTGGATTCCAAACGGAGCAATGCTATTAATATAGGGCTGACTGTATTACCACATCCAAGGACAATCAAGGTTGCCATTTTGAACTTTGATGAATATGCCTTAAATAAGGAAGGAATAGAGGTACTGAGAAAACCATGCAGAACATTACGTAAAACAATATATTATTTCTATATATAGTGGTTGAAAATATGTTGATGTATGAATTCTCATAATGGACTAATCTGATTACTCTTATGTAATATTTTCTCTTTCTGCAGCCATATAATCTTTTTAAAATCAATCAAAATATTGGGCATAATTTTAATTTTTGAACAAAACATATGCATTCATACTCATATTCGTTTCAATGTCACAATAAAATACCCAGTTTTTCTCTATTTTCCAATTAACAAATAGAAGGCATGGGGGAAGGGGAAGAGAGTCATCTTGGGAATAGATGTAAAAGCATAGAACTCTATAAAGGCTTCATTTAGGGGTGTGTTCGGTTCTACTGGTAGCCTAAACGCCAGTGTGAACTTGGACAATTCAGAATACTAAATGCTAAATTTTAATCAATTGAGATGTAGCAGATATATGAGGCCCATGCAAATTTTCTCAAACCAGTACAAATTCTTGTGGTAGCATTGTGATCTCGTGAGATTTCAGTGTTCTTGCTTAAGAGATTGGACTATACACAAGTCAATTCTCTCTCTGTTCTCCCCAAACATATTGTGACATTTTTAACCTGTATATGCGATGTCCAAGTGCTGCTTCTTTTTCAACTCCTGAGCCAATACATATGACTTCAATTAGCAGTAGATATGCAATTACATTATTCTTCAGCAAAATATCTTTTAAATTATGTTGCCCAAAATTGAAAAGGTAAAAATGATTTTTAAAAATAGTTAATTGTAATATTTTAAAGAATTATTAAAATATTGAAATATTTTACATAATTTTGGTCTGGATAATACTGAATTATTCTCATATTTATAACAAAAAAAAATAGGAGTTATATCAAGAAAATTTACAAAACTAAACTATTTTTCAGCTTTGATATATTCAATGTAGAAGAGCAGTCTATACAGTTTGTCTTTGATGGGGTGGTTTGTTTTGTTTTGTTTTTTTTGTTTTGTTTTGTTTTGTTTTGGTCTTTCTAGAAAATTCTTACAATGATTCCCACAGAAGAGGAAAAGCAGAAAATTCAAGAAGCTCAATTAGCCAATCCTGATATTCCACTGGGTACTGCTGAACAGTTCCTACTGACTCTGTCTTCCATTACTGAACTCACTCCTAGACTTCAGCTCTGGGCATTTAAAATGGATTATGAGCTTGTGGAAAAGGTAATTTCTTATTGCTAAATAAATATAATTGTTTTTATATTTCAATTTAATCTCTTCTGTCACTCTCAGGAATTTCTCTCTGCTAAACTGTTTATTAATATCATTTTGAACATTCAATAGAACAATACAGCACTCAGTCATTCTCCAACTGATGGCACAGAAGGGTCCAGAAGTGGGTTGTTCAATCCTTATTTGCCCAAGAGACTGAGTCAGAATTGAAGCCACACCTCCAGCTTCCCCTGCTGACTTCCAATTCCAACTCAGTCTTGCCCAAAAAGAGATGTAATTTTTATTGCTGTGAGTTGAAATTTGGTTTGTTAGAGCTATTTTGCTTTAAGATTATTTTTTCTTGTTTTTAATGTTATTATCTGATTGGAGGATATTGAACTTGGCTCACAAGTTTCTTTCCCACCTGGTTGCTGCTCGCATAGTGAAGCTCTTGAGCTGGGTTCCTGTGGAGGTTTCCAGACTCTTTGCAGGAAAGCAGCTGGCTGTTCCGGCTATCGGAGCCCTATTTGCGGTTCTGTTCAGCTTGATGATTAATTGCTAGTTCGGGCATGTGCCTGAGAGGCTCCCCGCGTTTCCACTGGCTCTCAGGGGCTGTAGCGGGTGGACGACGAAGCTACTGGTGCGAGGGCACACATGTGCAGCGCCGGCACCTCTGCATGGCTGCGGACAGTCCAGTACAGCAGGAGCGCACGATCGGTGCTAGCTGAACTTGTAGAGCGCCGCATGGCTAATCTGGGCGTTCTCAGGGCCGTTTGCTCTCTGTCAGCATTTGGTCCTTTGAAACTGCTTCCTCGTGAGTATGGGGCCTAGGGGGTGGCCATTTTGGAAAAACTTCTTGGGTAGTGGCCATCTTGGGAAGGTCCTCATGGTCAGCGGCCATTTTATTTTCCCTTTCTCAATGCCACAAGGCTCATTGCGACTGCCAGCTCCTGTGAGAACAGTCGCAGATTGCTGAGCTGCTGCCAAACTGAGTAGAGTGAGGCGTTAGAACAAAGGATACTGTACCATTGCCATGGCTGATTCCTCCAGTGAGAGCACCTCTGAGGTGGCTTCTGCAGCTCCCTCAAAGAGCTCCCAGAAGAGGGAGAGTTCCTCACTGGATCCTCCTCCCCTGGTGAAACAAGCTTCCCCCAGGCAGGAAAGTAAAGGGGATGGGGAGAAGTCCAGGCAAGGAGGTGGAGATAAGGCCCCTTTGTCGTCAGTAAGATCCCCACTCCTAAGGGTGGCTCCACCTTCTCCCTCCCCTTCGTCTCCAAGGCTATCTGGATCTCCAAGTGCCAGTTCCATTTCACCTCCGTTTTCAGAGGTAGAGGACGAGGAAGGCAAGTGCCATCCATTTACATGCATTGCGTCTGTCCCTGAACCAGGCCACAGGCACCAGCTGGCACCCAGGCCTGGGCCTAGTCATGCAATTGGTGAATTTCATGATTTGCATGATAACATTAAATCTCTTATTCATTGAGCCATTGCACATGGCATAGCCGTCCAGGGTTGTTCCTCTGACCAGGTGGATGCAGAACTGATGAGGCCAAACGCAGACGTATCCAGGATCCAATTGCTTATCCAGACAGGGTGCAGAGAGAGGTTTCTCCTTCGCTTAGGAGTGAGGTTTCGATGAAGAGCAAAAGGAGACAGAGCTTTCTGATGATGAAGGTTCGGCACTGGATGTCCCAGCCTTTGTCAGTTTGTTTCCTCCTAGTTTGTTTCGTTCCTTGCTATTTAAAGCCATGAGTATTGCAGCCATCAAGACGGAGGCTGACAAGCCGAAGGAGAAGAAGTCCGTGGTTGAGGCTTTGACTTCCAAGGCAGCGCCAAAGAAAAAGTGTTTCTTTGTGGAACCCATGGCGCAGAAGGAGATCTCTGGACCGAAACTGTTTCTGGATAACATTCAGAAGCATTGGGCCAAGCCAGGTATTTTCCCACCCTGGGTGGGAATGACAGATGCTTCTATAATATGGAGCCTGATTTCTCCCAGGCATTACAGGTTCCAGAGGTGGAAGCTCCTGTGGCCACCCTGGCGTCCCCAACGCCCATGGTGGCGAGTGATGTGGTGGACAACCTGAAGGCAGAAGATAAGAGGACTGAACTGGCCTTGCGTAAGACTTTCCTGGTGGCAACGTGGGTGATTAAGGCCGCTTCTTCTGCATCCTTCTTCAATCACGCCACACTGATGTGGCTTGAACAAATGCAGGAGCGTGTTCTGGCACACGATGTGAGACTGCTGCAGGACATCAGCAAGGTCATTGCTGCGACCAAGTTTTCAGCTGATGCAACCTTGAAGTTTGCCTCCATGGCTCTTTCTTCCTCTGTTTCAGCAAGGCGGATGGTGTGTCTCTGGAATTTGCAGGCAGATGCCAAAGCGAAGTGGAAGCTGGCGGCTGGCCCATATGTGGGGAAGAAGTTATTTGGCGAGGTTCTGGACCCAATTTTTATTGAGAATAAGAACAAATGTAAGGCTTTGCCTGTCACAACTAAGAAGCAGGAACACAAGTATACACCATATACATGCAGGGCACCCTATAGGGGTACTGACATGGATTATCATTATCAACCTAGATGTTTTCAGCCAAATCAGGACAGGGGGCAGGATAGGGATAGCTCATGATTTCAGCCTCAGGTCCTTTCGGGGAAGAGCCAACACCCCTTCCGCTGGAATAAATGAGCGGGTTTGGACAGCTCCCATTGGTGGTCAGTTGGCATTGTTTGCCGACCGATGGGAGAGTATTACATCAGATCTCTAAATCCTTAATACAGTAAAATTTGGCCTATGACTGGAATTAGTTTCCGTCCCTCCGAATTCTTTTTGTACGTTCACATCCTCCAAGTGTGCACTTCAGAAACAGCTCATGCGCCAAGCGATCGACCATCTGGTGGAGATCCAAGTGTGAAGTTTCCAAGAGTTTGCCTAATTAATTTACGAGCCTCAAGACAAGATTCCAAAAAAACCCATTCATTTATTAGGACTAACATCTTGGCACAGACTTCTGTGGAGCCAAAACTAAATCCCACTTAATGATGTCTGAACTTTACCCCTATGTCCCCTCCCTTCTGGCTGAAGTCATCAATCACATTATCCAACAGGACATTATGGCAGGGTTCTGGACATGCGCATTCACATCCCAGTACAGAAATATGAGACTTTTACTCTGGCCAAAAGTATGNTTTCAGTCCTTTCTTTGCAAATTCATATCCACAGTTCACCTTCTTCAAAATGGTTGTCAGGGGTAGCATTGAGCGTATAAAAAGTAGGAGTGAAAGGGAATCACCCTGGAAAATGCCTCGTTTAATTTCAACTTCACCCAGTTCTTCTCCATAAGCTTCGTTTTCCAGAGGTTTATTGAAGTTTCCATGAATTTTTATATGTTGCTGCTGATGCCAAAGATTTTCAGGCATTTCTTGATCCAGCTGTGGGGAACTGAATTATTATGATTATTATCATTATTATTATGCTTTTTCTTCCCTCTTTCTCTCTCTGCCTTGAGCTTCTGTTCAGTTGTTTAAGATTGTGGGATGTGGCATAAAAAGATTATAGTGTCTTTCACTCTGAAGTCAGTACAGACCCTTTACTTCAGCTACTCGGTCTTTTAAATCAAAGCCAAGAACTTCTACCTCCTTTAGTTAAGGCTATTAATTGACACAGAATTGGCAACTGCCACAATGTTCTCAAATGAAGTACTTTTCCATTTAGTACTTATGAAAAAGCTTCTATTTGGAGGGAAAATTGAAAGTGATAAGCAGAAGAGCTATCTAAAGCATGTTTGGGATAAAATGAAGAATGGATGTGTTCAAAGCTTTCAGGTTCAAGACCATACCATGTGGCGAAAAGTATGAAGCATATTTACTTCTTCACTCCTACAGAATGCACAGATGTCACTCAACAGCATTTTTTAAGGTTCCTAATAAGGAAAACTGGCCAGAAGATTGTCTACTCAACTTTTGTGATGAATTCACTCAGAATCTGAGTAGAGTTGCCAATTGGTGTCATGTTTGAGTTGTATGGAAATATAAACTTTCTAAGTAATTAGAAAAGTAAATGATTTTTTTTCAGTAATTAAACAATAAATCCGAATGATAATCATTGCTCAGAGTTGACTTGCCAAATCCAGCTGAGATGATAGTAGATTCTTGAGAAGTTATATGAGACCAGTTTGTTCCTGTGGATCTTGAAAGAATTTGATACCCTTTACTAGGGGATTATACCCTGACCTACTTGGTTGATGAAAGCTGTAAAAGGTGGCAGAAAGCTGAATAAAAGTGGAAGTGAAAACCACCTTGAGAAAGGGATTTTTTCTTCCATCAAAGAAAAAGATAGTAGTGCACCTCCTCCATAAAATCCCATACCTGTTTTGGGTTATCAACTAATCTCTAATTTTTCCATTCTTTAGAGAAAATTGCAGAGGATTATAGATTTGTGGATATAGAAATCCTTTAATGAAACAAATTTATGTACTCTTTTTCAGTTGGGATTTAGGCCTAGTCATGGGATAAACTGCAAAGTCAAAATTGATATCCTTGTTGGGATTGCAATAGCTGAATTGTGTATTTCTTAGTTCTGGTAGATTTTGGCTGCCAGTGCCATGACTAAAGATGGACCATTCTATTCTATTTAAAAAAGTTAAAGAATTATTGATCCTTAAATCACAAGCGGTTTATAGGTGCTTCTAGACTGCAGCTTATCACTCTTTTCATTGAGGGGCCTTTGGTGCTCTCTGAGGTTGCTTGTTTTCTTGCAAACTTTTCATTACCCTAACTGGGTAACATCATCAATGCTAGCTGAGAGAGCATCAAGGACTAAGGATTTCAACCCTGAGCTACAAATATTCTCCTTAATTTGTACTCTTTTCATTTTTATTAATATTTGAAATAGATTGTATGGTCCTTATCATATAGTTAAATTAATATGACATTCCTTGTTTATTAGTATTTTATAACATTTGAAAAATGAATACTTGATGGCCAAAATTTATTAAACTTTTGACATTATCTTTTACCCTACCTACCACATTTTCTAAAAAATATAAATACTGCAATTAGTGTTATAAGGTTTACTTTTCTCATTAATGCATATGATGAATATTAGAGGGAAAAGAAATGACATTTCTGTAGGTGTATACTGCATGCCACCCAATCAGCCATGGGAAGTAGATGAACATTTTGCTAGTCAATAAGATGTGCAGGAAACACTGTAATAATGGGGGAATTTACCCTGAAATAACCTGGGAGATAAACTATAGCAAGTGTTAATCAAACAGATTTGTGTCATGCCTTGCTGACAACTTTGTTACTCAGAAGGTAGAGAAAGGAACTATATAGGGTCAGCAACACAGGATTTAATTCTTACTAATAGGGATGAAATGATAGAAGGGTCAAAATTGTGGGAACTTTGGGGAAGAGTGACTATGTCATAATAGGATTCAAAGCACAAGCACTTGAACAAAGTTAAACTAGCGTTCTAGACTTCAAGAGAGCTGATTTCAACAAACTAAGAGAGAGATTAAGAAGGATTCCAAGAAAATCCAAAATGGAAAAATAACTCAAGATGCTTGGGAAACTCTAAAAATTAGATTATTAAAGCCTAATCAAACACATAGTGCAGAGAAAGAAAGAGAGAGAGAGAGAAAGAAAAAAAGAAAGGAAGAAAGAATGAATCAAACAATCAATCAGATGGCACCAGCATAGTTGAATAAAGATCTTTCTGACAAACTAAGAGGGAGAAAATAATACGTTTAAAAATGGAAAGAGGGACTCATAACTAGAACAGAATATAAACAATTGTCTGAATCAGCAATGATGGAGTAAGTTCAGAATGAACTAAAACTTGTAAAAACAACAAAAAATGTTTCAATATGTAATGCATAAGATGAAAGTCAAGGAAATTATCAGTCTACTAATGGAAGTAGATGTCAAGCACAACTGCTTAATTCCTTTTTTGCCTCTGTTTTCATGCAAAAGGAAAAGCCAATATCAAAAGCACAATGGGAGATTAAAAAAAAGAAAGTAAGTCAAAATAGGCAAGAAATTGGTAAAAGACAACCTATCCATTATAGATGAGTTCAAATTCCCAGAACCAGATGGCTTACATCCCAGAGTTCTGAAGGAGCTGGTAGATGTGATCTCAGAACTACTGAACAAAATTTTTCAGAGCTTCTGACGCTTGGGGAAGTACCAAAGGACTGGAAAAGAGCTGAAGGATTCCAGTCTTCAAGAAGGCAAAAAAAAAGGATCCAGAAAATTACAGACCAATTAGGTTTACATCAATACCTGGGAAATCCTGAAAAAGAAGATCAAGCAGCAGATTTGTGAGTATCTAGAAATGAAAAGGGCAGACATTAGAAATCTCATGGCTTTGTTAAAAACAGGTGATTCCAAACAAACTTTATTTCCTTCTTTGATAAAGTAACTAAATTACTGGATGAAGTAACTGCTATGGATATAGTTACTTGGATTTCAGTAAGGCATTTGACAAAGTAGACTACAGCCTACTTCTTAAATAAAATGGAATAATCTGGGATAGACAATACCACCACCTGATGAACTTGCAACTAGCTGACCAACTGCATTCAACATGTAATCCTCAATGGAACCACATCTACCTGGAGAGAAGCAAGCTGTGGGTACTTCAAGTTTTGTCTTAGGCCCAGTGTTCTTCAGCATCTAGATGAGGGAGTAGAAGGTGAGGTCATCAGATTTGCAGATGACATCAAGCTGGGGGGAACTGCTAACACTTTGGAAGATAAATTCAAGATTCAGGTAGATTTTGACAAACTAGGGCAATGAGCCCTCTCCAGTAAGATGCAGTTCAGCAGTAAGAAAAGTAAGCTCTTGCTTTTAGGCAGGAAAAACAAATGCACAGATATAGAATATGTGACATCTGGCTCAACAGTAGTAACTATGAGAGGAATCTAGGTTTCCTACTGCAGAACCACTTAAGTATGAACCAGCAGTATGCTTCAGTGTCAAAAAAGCCAGTGTACTCATAGACTGCATCAATAGAGGGATAGCATCAAGGGTACAAGACATAGTAGTACTGCTTTAAACTGCAGTAGTAAGGGTACATTTATAATATTGTGTTCAATTCTGGTCGCATGAGGCAAAAAAGATATTGAGACCTAAGAAAAAGTGCAGAAATGAACAACAAATATAGGCTAATTGTACAATGTACAGTTAATGGAACTGGATATATCTAGCCTAACAAAGGAAAGGATTAGGAATGACATGATAACTGCCTTCCTGTACTTGAGGGGTTATCCTAGAGAAGAGGAAGTCCTCTTCTACAAAGCACCCGAAGGCAGGACAAGAAGCAAAGGGAGGAAGTTTGTTAAAGAAGATCCTGGTACTGGGAAAAAATTAACCAATAGAACAGCTTGCTTTTTGGAGTTGTGGGTGCTCCATCAATAGAGGTTTTCAAAAAGAGACTGGACATCCATTTGTCCAGGATGGTATATGGCTCTTACTTTGAGCAGGGGACTGTACTAAAAAGACCTCCAATATCCCTTCTAGTCTATGACTCTGTAATGTCAAATATATAATTGATTCTTTTTTTACTTTTCTCCACACAGACTAAAGCCTTTGAACTAAGCTACCTTGAGAAAGTGCCTGAAGTCAAAGATACAGTCCATAAACAATCTCTTCTTCATCATGTATGCACAATAGTGGTGGAAACATTTCCAGATAGCACAGATCTTTATTCTGAAATTGGAGCCGTCACTAGATCAGCCAAGGTATGTCAGTTAATGCAAAGAAATCTCTAATAGAAGGGTACATTTTATCATTTTTCTCAAATAGTCCTTACAGACTTAGAAATAGGATTGGTTTACATCATTCATCTGTAATTTTTAGATTATAGCAGTTTTCTCTTTAATAGATTCCTTGTGGTTTTTAAATATAGTCTATTCTTTTAATCTCACACTGTTTCAAAATTTAATGTTAATAAATTGTCAATTCTAAAGTGAATCAACAATCTATTGGATGTTTTCAAAATAAAATGAAAACAGAAAGCCAAAAGAAAATTGTTAACAAGTTTATGAAGATGGCAAAAGGCAAAAAGGAAGAAACAAAATCATCCAATTATTTAGTCTCAATCTTCTTGAAAAGAGTAAATATACAGTACTTCTGTAAACGATTGTGGTAACCTGCTTGAAGAAATAAGATCTCCAGATTGAACTTGAAAGGGAATTTTACTAATATTGATTTATTTAAAATAGCAACCAAAAATCTAGGTGAAATGTATTGATAGTTTGGCTAATCTCCTGTCTGTTAGAGCTGAGAAATCCTGAAGAATAGGTAATTTACTCTCATTCTTTCTATTACTTATTTTTTTCTAATCGCCAAAACTAAATTTAAGTTCCTTTTTTTCTGCTCTGCGCATAAGGGGTTTCCAAACAGCAATAAAAATAGATAACAGAATAACAGAGTTGGAAGGGACCTGGGAGGTTTTCAAGTCTAATTCCCTGCTCAAGTAGGAAACCTTATACTTTTTCAGACAAATGGTTATGTCTTCCTCCAGAACTTCTGAAAGAAAGTTATTCCACTGATTAATTTTTTTTATTATCAGGAAATTTCTCCTTATTTCTAGATTGCTTCTCTCTTTGATTAGTTTCCATCCATCAATTTCTTCTTATCCTGCTTTCAGTTGCTTTGGAGAATAGATTTGACTCCCTCTTCTTTATGGCAACTCCTTAGATATTGGAACACTTCTATCATGTCACACCTTGTCCTTCCTTCCAATAAACTAGACATACCCAATTCCAGCAATCATTATTTATCTGTTTTAGCTTTTAGTCCCTAATCATCTTTGTTGCTCTTCTCTGCACTCTTTCTAGAGTCTCAACATTTTTTTACATTATGGTGACCAAAAGATAATATTCTTTTTCTGATCAAAGAAGTCAATTTGTCCACTTCAGTTCCAGCATCTTCATCATCCATTCCTCCATTTTGGATAGCATCAGATCATTCAACCTATATGCATATAAAAATCTCACTGTACTTGTCTCGTTTTAAAATGCTATAGCAAAATGTTATCTCTTGACTTCTTCCTTCACAAATACACCAAAATATTCCTTGCAACATGTCTTGTTCTCGCAAATCTTGAGATTATTACATAAACTTTATCTGTTTCTGTCTCTACATCCTCCTCCCAATCCAATCTTTTGTCTTGAAAGTTTACCAATTAACTAACGTCTTTAGAATAAACAAAACAAAACAAAAAATTGGACCACAGAATCCATTTTACTTACCTAATTAAATTACAGTTTATTGCATTTAATGCAATAAACTATTTGCTTGTCCACTTCAAATTTTCTTAAATCATCTTGTTAAGAATAAAAGATTTTTTTTATCAAAAAAATCTTCAATCTCTAATACTTCTTTTAGTTTTGTAATGCAGAGAAAAATAAAACTCATCAAGAAGGGTCTTACCCCACCATTCAAGAAAATATCTGTTTCTGTAGAATAATTAATTTAAAAAAATAAGTAGGAAATGAGGTTCAGCTAAGGTTTTTGTCCTGTGAGCCTAGATGAAATCAATTCTATGATTCCCAGCCATTCAATTCTTGAGTGAACGATTACGAGCGTTCCCTTAGCGAACATTTGAAGTTATGTGATAAGTGCCCCCTAGTGTTTACAAACAACTCCCAAAACTATGAATCTTGCAGTACTTACGAACAACCACAGAGGCTCTGCAACATTCATTCAGCATGTTGCCAACCAAACTGGAGCTTCTGAAGGGGGATTCACTCCCAGAATCCCTGGGTTACAGATGGAACGGGCGGGCTCCATTACATTCGTAACCTGAGGACTACCTGTACAAAAATTTCCATTCCTGCAGTTTACTTACAAAAAGCATTTGTCCAGAGTGAAAGTAGGCTACCTCACAATCTCTCATTCATCTGAAAAGATGCAATATAGATATTGTAGGGCTGTAGTAGCTATCACTCAACAACATATATGATATTTATTCTATAACAATTAACACTTTCAAAATAGTTTTCAATAATAAAATAATCTCATACCAGGTATATTGGAGTAATGATGAAGGGATAAATCACTTTTGGTAAGTCTTTCCATTCCAGATAGTATCTTAACTGGATATTGGACAAAGTATATGTGATTAAGGAAAATGGTGCAAAAAATGGAATAGAAGTTCATCTATTGTGGCATATTGCTCTAATTTCATTAATTAAATGCAACAGAGGAATAATGATTTGATGCCTTAGCAATTTTCTCATCTGATCATTTTATTTTAGAAAATCATCAAGTAAACACAACAACAAATAAGAAAAAAATAGAAGGTAGATCACTAACTGGCATGTATTACTGAAACCTGGCTGGGCCCGGANGCCTATAAATAATAAACAAATACAAATACAAATACAATAACACCTATTATTCCCACCTAGTTAATCACTGACAAATTTATACAACAATAGCTTCTCCCTTGCAAAATAAGTCCAAAATGTATAAGGTTGCTCATCTATTTACACCCAACTGACATGTTATACATTACATATATGGGGAAAAAATAGTTAACAGATTAAACCTAAATAAAGTTAAAATTCAAAGCAATCTGTTATTGTAATTTATCTATTATTTAGCACAAATTGCTCATTATCTCTAAGACAGGAGGAAAATACTGGTTTTTCATTAGCAACTTTCCCAACAATTGCATCTCACTTCTAAAGTTCATAAGTCTCTGTTATAAATATCTCTGCAACATCCATTGTTGAATAATTATCTTGACAACACATTTCTCTTTCCTAGAAAGGCCATTCCATTTGTTATCTCAGAATTTCTTGTTTGTATTCTTTTCAATCTTTTTAGCAGTTCTACATCTTTCAAATCAAACATTTTCTTCTTCTCATCTTACAGCAACAGATCAGATTTCAATTCCTCAAACTGCAAATCCTCAAATTGCAAATTGTTATTTCCTGCTTTTGGATACCATCTTGATTTTGCAGAACTGTTATTGACCCATCAAATTTTGTTTATATATCTTCAAATAAAGCCTGTATTTTGGAGAACATTCTTTTTTCAATTGCCTCCCAAACATTTTGTGACCTTTTAGAGGCTTAAGAAACACTTTTATTTTGAAATACAAGAGAAGCAAATAAGATGTAATAGCTTCCACAGGGAAAGATGTTTTTCTTCCCCACAGTTAAAGTATAGGGAATTTTCCAATTAAAAAAATAGGAGATCAATATTATGACCCTTTTATTAAAAAGGAAAAAACTAGAAAGAGCAAAATTTATAGTATAATCCTGTGTAAATGTAAATCCCACTGCTACTTCCTTAAAGCTAAAAAATAGTTTAAATTTTGATAATAAACAGTGAAAGAACAGGAGGGGAAATTAAGAAATCCAGCAAGAAGTAATAAAATAGGTCAGAAGTCAAGTAGTCATAAATCAAAAGATTGCAAAGCTTCAAAAAGTGCAATTAAAAACCAGTGGTGCTTAAGAAAAATAAGTATCTGAAGGGAAAACCAGCAAGAGGCCAAACCTTCCAATCATTCCTTGCCAAGAATTGCAGGCATGTAGGCCCCCTTCTTTTAAACTTGTGCATGATCATCGAAAGAATGACTTGGGTCCTTCCTAGTCTCCCCTTCAAAAAACAGGGAACAAAGCCACCAAATAACAAGCTTTGTTGGCAAAATCAACTGTTCATCGAGGGAGAACATCATCAAGAGGGAGGGGAGCTCTCTAGGATTTCTAAAATACAGTAAAACCTCAGAAAGTTCACCACCCAGGAGACTGAACAAAAGTGGTCAACATACAGAGATGGTCAACATATGCAAGTACTGTGCTGATATGTACACGTGCACATGCATGTGCAGAAGAGTCCTGGTGGTTGGGAAGAGCCTCCCACCGCCACTACTACCAGTTTGCCCGATCCAGGCTGAGTCTGGAGTAACCCACCTCTGATGTAGAGTATGTCCTGTCTACAAAAATTAGGTCAACTTAGGGAGATGGTCAACTATGGAGGTTTTACAGTATAATACATAGAAATGCAGTCATCAGTGAGACTTCAGCATTCTAGGATGCAATTCATCTTTTTCTGGAAATTCCATTACAGTCTTTCAATGAATGTGAGGCTTTTGCCCTTATTTCCATTAATTTGTGTGTCAACACTTAATTTAAAATTTGCAGGACAGAAACCAAAACCAAGAAAGACACCAAAACTTTCTGGTTAACAACAGAACAATACTGTTGTTAAGTGAATCTGGCTTCCACATTTGCTTTGCTTGTCAGAAGGTCGCAAAAGGTAATGGTCATGTAGACCATGGAACACTGCAATCATTATAAATATGAGCCAATTGCCAAACATTCACATTTTGATCACATGATCATGGGGATGCTGCTGTGAAAAACAATCATAAGCCACTTTTTTCAGTGCCAGTATAATTTTTAAACAGTCACTAAACAAATAGTTGCAGGTTGACGACTACCTATATTTGCTGATATTCTGTTGTTATACGTGTCCTTTTTGTCAGAGCTCTTGGTGCAACCATGCTGGGCTCATCTAGCGTATTTTGTTTTTCTTTTTCTTTTTTTAATTTGGACCTTCAGTTTATTTTGATAGAATCATCCTTTACCTGAAAGAATTATTTACTGTTAAATGAAAGTTCCTGTTCATAAGATTTAATTGATATAAAAATATTTCCCATGTTTATATTTTTTGTTAATGACAGGAGATTGCAGAACCACTTTTGGACCTGAAGGAAGGAATG